TATATATATACACGATGTGTGTGTGTGTGTCGGCGCGGCAGTGAGGGATGACATTCTCCCACAGGGGCGGTCGCCCGTTACTTCTAACTTATCATTGTTTTTTTTTCTTTGTTTTTGGGCGGCCACATGCATTTTTCTTTTCGTGCTTCTGTCTGTGCTCACGCAGAGGTGGCGGAAGATACCGCAACTTCAAGGATAAGGGAATGGGCGAGGAGACCGACAGCGCAGCGCGCCTCACCACCGTTCTGCTTTCCCCGGGTGTATATGCCACCGATTCTGCAGCGCCGCAGACAACGCAGGGCCCGTCAAATGTTACTACTGTGCCTGCTGAAGGACGTGGCTCGTCAACGGCAGTGACGACATCAACATCGATGGATCGATTCGATAAGCATCGCCGTCTGCGCCGCGCGCTGGCGGCAAAAGAAGCAACCCTGATGGAGCNCGTCAACGGCAGTGACGACATCAACATCGATGGATCGATTCGATAAGCATCGCCGTCTGCGCCGCGCGATGGCGGCAAAAGAAGCAACGCTGATGGAGCTCACGCGGCTCATCATGAATAACACCGGCACACGGCGAACGGGGAGCAGTTCTGCCCGGCGCAAGATAATTGGCGGCATAGCCGTCCGTTCACCTGGAGGTGTTGGCAGCACCGCTGGTGGAATCGGTCACTCGCAATCCAGTACCACACCGCTGGTCCCGATGGCAGCGGCATCCACTGTAGAAGGAGGAACGGTAGCAGCAGCAGCGGCGGCGGCTTCAGCGCCGCTAGGTGATTCTGTCACTTCTGCTGCCAATGATGCGGAGATACGGTACATTCAGAGCGAAAATAAACGTCTAAGAGCCAAAGAAGCAACGCATGCGAAGGAGCAGGCACGACTTGAGTCCCTCGTATATGACCTACGCAGGGAGTTAGAGGTCACCGGGCATGCGCTGCGTGATCAGACGGCAGCGATGAAAACAGTGGGCGTGGGACTGGGAAGAATGGATCCACATCGAATGGTGAAAACGCAACGCGAGCAACAGGCGAAGTCTCTGACATCCGTGGAGTTGCCCGAGGATGGTGCGGATTCCCAGCGTGATCTGCAGGCTGCTCGGGAGAAGGCGAAGATATTGGAAGGTCTTCTGGTGGCAGAACAAGAACGATGCGAACATGCTGAAAAGCGCTGTGCTGACCTGCAAGCTGCATTATTACGCTCAAGCCTAATGAAAACGCCAAAAGCCGTGAATGAGGATCATAAGGATGGCAGCGCCACCGAGCTTTCATTTGTTGATGACAATAAAGATATGGCACAGAGAGCAGCACTTGAACGCCGCGTACGGACCCTGAAAGCGAAGGAGCACACTCTCATGGGTAGCATTCAGGGTTTGGAGGAAACACATCGTGCAGCACGCCGGTCATGGGGCGCGAAGGAAAAAGAGTTCAAGAGATACATACAAATTCTCGAGGCCACAATTACGCGGATGGAGCGACGGATGCCAATGAAGAAGCCAAATACGGCCACATTGTTTAATGTGACTCTCAGACTTGTGGCCTGCGAGGGGCTGCTAAATAGACGAAACAACGGTGTGGGTTTCATTGATCCGTTTGTAGTTGTTTACGGTCCGTGCGGTGAAAAGGCACTTGAGACACTTCCACGTACTGACACAACCTGCCCGCAGTTCATTACATCTGAGGATGCTGTGATGCTGAAGGTGGCGCGAGGGTCGCCATGGAGCATTGTCTTCGAGGTCTACTCACGTGGGGCAAATAACGCTCGGCTTTTCCTGGGGCAGGCCCAAGTCCCTCTTGGGCCGCTCTTGGAGGATAGTGCAGCGGGTGCAGGAGTGCGGCATTCTGCCAAGCTCCATCCGCGCGAACGCGAGCCAGACGGTGAAATCGTGCAGCATGCGCATCACCTTGGCACTGTCGTCTTCACCGCTGCAGCAGCGGTGGCTGGAAATACAGCTGCTGCCGTTGCGTGCCGTGGCTCCATGTCCGACACGGGACGGCTTTTTTCACCCAAGCGCGACGGAGAGAAGGCGGTGACGAGCGACGATACCTCGGAGTCGGCGGCGTGTTGTTCCGCATCCACAAATGGAGTGACAATTCGTGTAGTCAGCGCAAACGGAATTCTCAGACGCGACGTGGGAGTTAATTCCAATCCATATGTTGTGGCGTATGATGGTAGTGGCGGTGAGGAGCTCCTTCGTCTACCACCTGTTCTGGAAACGACGGAACCCTCCTGGGAGAATTGTTCACGGACGATTGCCACTTTGTCTGGCGGGGAGCCATATGGGTGCATTATTTTCCATGTTTATGACTACGACCGTGATGGCAAGGACGAGTTCCTCGGGGAAGCGCGCCTCGCCAAGAAGAAGTTGTACTCTGATCAGGAGTGGCACGAGCTGACACTCCACCCACGTGTAGATGAACCGCTACAGTACATACGCGATCACCGCCACCGACTTGGAAGGCTGTTGGTGCAGTGTACCCGACGGGAAAAAGAGTGCGTCAGTGAAGGCAATGAGGTGCGGCAACGTGAGGAACCGCATCGAGGCGAGACCAGCTGCTCCCCCTTTAAGCCTCTTGGGCCGTCTGAATCATCAGTAATTCTTTACAATGAGCCCATCACTCCGTGTGGTGATGTTGTGCTTAAGTCTTACCCTGTCCAAGTAAGCGTAGAGGCTTGCAAGGATCTTGGAAATGTTCGGGGAAAAGGAAGCACATTTGTGCGTATCCTATCGCCGGATGCGAAGGTATTTTTGACGTCTGCTGTACCGCTTACGCGTAATCCGTCATGGAGCAAGGGGTCTGGGTCGACAATCATGTCTCTACATCCTCTGGATTCCGGTGTTATTGGCTTCCACGTCATGGGCAGTGGTAACGCATACGAGGCAAGGGAGCAGCGGTTAGGCTACGCTCAGCTTTCCGTCTCGGATCTTTTCCGCCACGGATTTAGCAAAAAAGAGCTGCGGTTGAGTATTTTTTCTTGTGGGACAGATAGGCTGTTTCGCCAGCGTGACACCAACCTCGGAAGCATTGTGGTTTCCTTTGTCCTCCTCAATTCGCATCCCGTGCAGGGGAACACTGAAAGCGAAAAGGTGGACGCGGAGCGCAACATCTCGACTGCTACTACGGCTGAGCCGCCACGAGAGGAACCGGTGGTATCATCGTCGTCCTTGCCAGAAGAGGTGGTGATTAGTGAGGGCCCAACAACGGCATGTATGCACATTTATGTCAAGGAGGGTCACGATCTTCTGGATTGTGACCAGGAAATGTTCAATGTATTGGGCGTAACAGATCCGCGCGTGATGGTGTGGATCGGCCCTGACCACGCCTTTACGGTTCCTGAGAAGCGTGATACCGTGAACCCAAAATGGAACCAGGAGGAGGGAGAGTTCATCGTTTCTGTTCAGTCGTCCCATATTATCCGATTTGAGGTCCAGGACGTGGACGTTGCAGGGTTTGATTCCATGGGGTGCGCCACAATTCACGCATCCGAAGCTATTGCATCACCTGGAGAACATGAATTGCCCGTCATGCTTCATGGAAAACAATACGGAACGTTGAGTGTGGTGTTTACACCTGACTCAAAGAATAAAAGGGACAAT